ACCTCGCTCTGTGGCCCAGGCTGGAGTACACTGGCACAATCTTGGCTCACTGCAACCTCTGCCTCCTGGTTCAAGTGATTCTCCTGCCTCAGCCTCCCAAGTAGCTGGGATTACAGGTGCCCGCCACCATGCTCAGGTAAGTTTCATATTTTTAGTAGAGATGGATTTTTGCCATGTTGGCCGAGCTGGTCCAAACTCTTGACCTCAAGCAACCCACCTGCCTTGGCCTCCCAAAGAGCTGGGATTATAGGCGTGAGCCACCATGCCTGGCCAAGAACAACAAAATCTTAACCCTCAATGTCTGCCCTGGGGATGCAGAGTCAGTGACTTTCCAAAAGTCATAAATGCTCTTTACATGATTCATTTATTCATTCCATAAACATGTATTGAATATCCCTTTTGTGCCATTTATTGTTGTCTTGAGAACAAAAACAAGGGCCTCTTTTTTTTCCCCTGTATTTTTAAAATATTTTTTAAATACAGGGGAAAAAAAAGAAGCCCTTGTTTTTGTTCTCAAGACAACAACAAACCAAAGTGCCATAGGTGCTATGGTAGAAATATCCACATGTTGCTTTAAACACAAGGAACACAAGTCTAACCTGGGACCCAGCATTGGAAACCCAGTCCAAATCTTGCTGGGTGAAACTGTAGGAATTCTTCATTCATTGACTGATTCAACAAAGATTTACTGAACACTTACAATGTACCAGGCTGTTATCTGGGCACTGAAGACTCAGTCTTATAAATGAAGTAGCCAGAGTACGGCTCTTCTGGAGCTTGTGTTTGAGGTGTGGTGTAGGGAGGGAGCTAAGGCAGGGAATGCAGAAGAGACAGACTATGTACCAGTCAGCCAATAAGCAAGCCATTGATTCCATATGTTTTATTGAGTGTCTAATTTGCGTCAGGCAGAGTGTTGCATGCTAGTATTATAAAGACAAATGAGACACAGCCCTTGTCCCTAAGGGGTTAGATCAAAAAGAAAGAACCTGTAGGAAGGCCTCGTGCAAAGGATGGTGCTGTGTTTGGGGAAAATCAAGGTGTCCAGTTGAGCTGGGGAACAGGGTGTGGTGAGGGAGGGGCTCCCTCTTTCAGCCATGAAATGTACACTTTCCACAACTTGGGAAAGAATTCTTCCTGGAAACTTCATAGGAACCCTCTCAAAGTGTTTAACGATGTAGACATTTGGAACACACTGTAGGTACTGGGTGTCTTATAAAATAGCATCATCCAGCTGATCATCTCTCCCTGCACTGCTGAACTGATGATATGTGGATCAATATCTCATGGTAGTTTGGAACAGGAGCCAGCAACCTACAGCCCTAGGGCCACCACCTGTGTAGTAAAGAAAGTTTTTTTTGGAACACAGTCATGGCCATTCATTTAAATATTATCTGCGACTGCTCTTGTGCTACAATGGCAGAAGTCAGTAATTATGACAAAGACCATGTAGCCCAAAAGCCTATCTGGATCTGTAAGTAAAAGCTGCCAACCCCGGTCTAGGAGCTCTGTTTACCTGAAATACAAACCAATAATGAGTTTCTGACATACCAAATTCAATTCCCTCCCTCCCTCCCTCCATTCCTTCCTCCTTCCCTTTCCCCCTTCCCTTCCTCCCTCCTTCCCTCCTCCTTTACTCCTTTCCTACCTTCTCACTCTCTCTCTTTCTTCCTTGCTTTCTTACCTAACCCACATTCCCAGAAACTGATGGGACTAAAAACAAGTGTTGGACCTGAATGTGGCAAAGTTAAACTACAACTAGGATCTGCCTTCTAAGGTATGGCAAGAAACGAACTGGTTAATGTTTGCAAAATGCCACGACATTCTTGAATAAAAGGCGCTATATAAGTTCAAAGTATTTATAATTATTATGATGAGGATTATAATTTATGAGATGTCATAAATCTCTCCAAAATAGGATGAGATCAACACTTTTAAAAAGAGAAAGAGGACAGGACTCTATATAAAGTGCTTGGGCTCACCACCTCTAGGGAGGAGCGCTGTCTGAAGACGGGTGAGTGTGAAGCAGAGGCATGGATCTAACACTTAGGTTTATTTAGGCTGAAAATTCCATGTATGGTGATCAATTGGCAATGATTGTGTCTCTGCTGCATAAGAAATGTTGGAATCGGGAAACTTAAGGACCTTGCAAAGAAAACCCAAGTTTGAAAAGATATGTAGATGATAGAATAATTTTACCTGTTCATTACAATACTTATCAAATTGTAATGCAAATATGTCATTACTTTTGGATTTGTGAGCATGTGCAAATCGAAGAATAGGAGAAAAGAAATGCATGTGCAATTAACTGTAGCTGTGACAGGGCCAAATGCGACGTCTTATTTCTTAACCAAAAGCCAAAAGACTAAGGTGTTTGTATTTTGCCAGATGGTAAATCCCTTGCCTGCCCTCATGGTCAGTCTTGCCAATGCCGCATTAACCCATACACTGTAAATATTGGTTCTATAACAGTCTTAGTTTTTCTGCAAGCTGAGAAATAACTAAGGCCAACATGTCTAATCCTCTTGGCTAACAGAATAAAAAGAGAAACTTCTAGAGTCCATAGATGGAACAGAGAGGCCAAGATCTCTCTGATTTGATCTTTGTGCACAGGGGAACATTCATGGGGAAACCTCCAGCACAGGAATATCCTTTCTGAAGTTCTGAACTCTCGGAAACCCAAATGGGAAAGCAGGCACAGAGGGTGCACTGAGAGAAAGAACTCCTTTCCAGCTCACAGCCTTTTTCTGCAGGGATGAGATTTGCCTGCCCAAAGGGAAGAAAATGATCAAATTTCAGAGCTCTTCTAGGCTGGCAATTATTGATTAGAATCCAAATTCAGTAAATATACATTTTCACAGGCCATGTGAAAGTGCAACTCTATACAACGTGACAACTTAAAATGAACCTTCATGTTGCTGCCTTGTATTTTTAGTCTAAAAAGTTACGTTTTTATCAAGACAATATGATCTTAGTGGCAGAATAATTTTATATTATTTTATATTTGTGACTGCATTTTATACTATTTTAATTTTAGGTCTGTTGGTTCATAGCAATCTGTGAGGCAATGGGCTAGAGTGTTGCTGTACATGTGTGCGTGTGTGTGTGTGTGCGTGCATGTGTGCGTGCATGTATGTGTGTGTGTGTGTGTGTAGGGAGGGAGGGAGAAGATTAAAATAGCAAGAAAAGGATGAGTACGATGTGATGCTACTGGAAAGTCCTTTAACAAATTAAAAAATTTAAAAGCTTTTTAAAGAAAATAAAACAAAAATTTAAAAAATTAAAAATAAAAATAAAAAATAAAAATGTTTAAAAAGCAAAAGTAATAATAAATTTAAGATAATTTAAAAATAGACCTGGTGCTGGTAGTTCCCAGCACTTTGGGAGGCTGAGGCAGGCGGATTGCTTGAGCCGTGGAGTTTGAGACCAGCCTGGCCAACATGGCAAAACCCTGTCTCTACCAAAAATACAAAACTTAGCTGGGCAAGGTGGCACATGCCTGTAATCCCTGCTACTCATGAGGCTGAGGCAGGAGGATCACCTGAGCCCAGTCAGGGTTGAGGCTGCAGTGAGCCAAGATCATGTCACTGCACTCCAGCCTGGGAAACAGAGCAAGACTCTATCTCAAAAACAAACAAACAAACAAAGAAACAAATAAAAATTCAGGGGCTGGGCATGGTGGCTCATGCCTATAATCCCAGTACTTTGGGAGACTGACGTTGGTAGATCACCTGAGATCAGGAGTTTGAGACCAGCCTGGCTAACACAGTGAAATCCCATCTCTACTAAAAACACAAGAATTAGCCAGGCATGGAGATGTGTGCCGATAATTCCAGCTACTCGGGAGGCTGAGATAGGAAAGTCACTTGAACTAAGTGCACCACCGCACTCCAGCCTGGGTGACAGAGTGAGACTCCATCTCAAACAAAACAAAACAAAAAATAATTTAAATATAAAATTCAAATTAAAAAATTTAAAAAAGAAAGACCTATCAGCACACAATGAGTAGGTAGATGCAGAGACATGTTAGCAATAAACAAGGATGACAACACAGCCTAGATCAGGAGACCATGCCTAATGTGGATGCGTACAGCAGTTCTCAGTTCTCCCAGGATTACATGGGGACACCACAATGAGGGAAGGGCTACCTTCATCACTCAGCATGTTGAGGTGTTAATACATCACATTTCCGGGGTGGATGGAGGGCCCCAATGATCTGTAATAATACTGTTTAAGGTTAAGGTAAAGGTTGAAGAGCATTCATGGAAAAGGTTCTAAGGTGGGAAAATCACAAGACCAAAGACACCTGTTTCTACCTTTTCCAGAAAAATTGATGAACTGAGGAAGACATGGCCTATGATGCATTACAAACTTAAACAGTGCTTTGGGAATTCCAAAGTACTCAGTGGAGAGAGGGTGGGTAAAGGAAGATGCCCCCATCCAAGCCACCAGGAACATGAGGTAGCTCCTGAGGGATGCTCTGATTGTCAGTTTCCAGGGTGCCTGGCAGGCCTGTTGCTCTGGCTTGTCGACACCCCCTTGCTGTTTGTTAGTATTTTGCTCTCCAGGTAGGGAAAAGAAGGATGCCACCACAGACATCGTGCTTGGCATCATGACCACTGTGCTGCCTTGGTCTGACATCTTCCTACTGGTTTTAAGCAGGGAGTCACAGGGGAATTAACAAATGAGTCATAGGTAACTGACAGACACTCCTTGAGCACACCGAGTGATGCCTCAACAATCTCTTCTAAACATAGAGTACTTTTCAGCATGTGTAAAGTTGGGCCATAGAGTTTGGGTTGCTTCAACATGTATTTATGGACAAAACACATTGTTTATCCACTTAACAATTCCAAGCTAGGTGTAGTGGCTTAAGCCTATAATCTCACCTACTTGGGAAGCTGAGGTGGAAGGATCACTTGAGGCCAGGAGTCCAAGACCAGCCAGGGAAACATAATGAGACCTATTTCTACAACAAAACTAAAAACTTATCTGGACATGGTGGCACATGCCTCTAGTTCCAGCTACTAGGGAGGCTGAGGTGGGAATACCACTTGTGCCCAGGAGGTCAAGGCTGCAGTGAGCTATGATCATGCCACTGCACGCCAGCCTGGGTGACAGAGTGAAACTCTGGTCTAAGAAAAAAAAGAAAAAGTTCATTGTGACTTCTTGCTCTTCCCTGATAAAACTGAAAAAAAAATTACCTTGAAGAAAGACCTGGTCCCAGGGGCAACCAGAAAGTAATTCTGTGTTCCCATTAAGTGGCACATGGATTTACACAGACTCTTTCATTGAAATGACTTGTCACCACAGATATTTAGTTCCATGCATGGAAAATAAGGTAACTCTCCTGTTACAAGAAAAGCTAAGTCCTTCCTCTTGGTCCAAGAAGAAGTATTTTTCTTTCCTGGAAAAGCAGCAAAAAGAGTGAAATACCCTGGGTGGAGCATTTGAATGTGAGCAGTGCTTTTTCCTGAGGGGTCCTGCCATAAAGCCAGTGATGTACTTTCATGAGACCATGAGCTTCTCCTGTACCCAAGCAGCTCTTTCTCCATTCTTTTCTTCTGGTATCAGTTGTCCTCTCTCATTTACTGCTAGAGACTCAGGGTGCTAAATAAATGACTCCTGTTGGGTGATTAAATCTGAGAGTTCCTGGAGACCCAGCTAAGATTCCAAGTCCCTGAATCTTTTTGGTGTTGGGACTGAGCATGACATTTTCTGCTCAACTAAGCAAAATTGGACAGACCATCTCAATGTTGTAGAGAAAATAACAAAAAGTATGACTGCATCCAAAGGGCAGTCCTAAGTTTAAGGAGACAGAAATCGAACGACTTCCTTTTTCTCTTTTATTTTTATTTTTTGAGACAGGGTCTTGCTCTGTTTCCCAGGATGGAATGCAGTGGTGTGATCATAGCACACTATACCTTGACCCTCTGGGCTCAAGCAATCCTCCTGCCTGAGCCTCCTGAGTAGCAGGATCCACAGGTGTGTGCCACCACACCTGGCTTCAAATAACTTCCTTAAGGCCTTTCCATCTTGAGTTGTAATTTCTTCCTGGGCATTTGGAGGAAACCACCAATAAGATTAACCTTAAAACAAAAGAGATGAGAAAAGCACCATGAAAGAACCAAGTGCCATGTTTATATGCACATTTCCACATGTAACGATAATAATAATTCAAAATGCTAGGCTGCCAGGCTCCACTGACCAGGATGATGATGACATATACCCTGCAGTGGGAAGGCTTGGTCAGAGGTGTCTTGGAGGCAATGGACCAGAAACTCTACCATTCCCTGGGGTCAACAGCAAACTATCCTGGGTGGTATTTGTGTATTGGTTTGGTAGCTAGTAGGAGAACCAGGGCTGTTTGTACTCGTGGAAGGTGATTAGGGGAATGATTGGGATAAGAGAGGGTGAGAGCACATGAGGGGGTGCTCCATGGTGGCCAGGTGTTCATTCTCCAGTCTTGTGAGCACCTTATGAGTTCAGTCGTGGAACCCCTGCCAGCTTCTTGGGGATTTGCTGGTGGAGGTAGCTCATCTTTCCATTCTCCCTGGGCTCTGGTCCAGGTTTGTTGCCACAGTGGGGGGTTTTACAGAGGGAGAATGGGGAACACGGCTTAAGGTGATAAAGGGGGCCTGTGATTCCAGGATGGGGTTAGAGCAGTGGGAAACATCTTCAACCAGTGTACATTCCAGGGCACTGAGGAAAGTGTGGTCTTTCCTCAAACCTGAAGAAGAAGGGACCTAAATTCCAAGAAATCACTAATACAAAATTCTCCTTGTGATAATGGAGATAATAAAGAGCCTCTTGAGATGAGGCATGGGCATCAAAAATTTGCTTTTCAGGGTCTGGAGCCAGGTAAGTATATTTCTCAGTGGTTGAGATTCAAATTGTCTTGCCTTCTTGAGATAAAGTAGTTGGCAACTTGACTCTATGTTGAGTTCCTGCGGGCTAAGAGTCTTCTCGTTTTTAGGTTAATTGAAAGGAAGAATGGAGCACTTACTTGTCCTACTTTTGCTTTTTTTCACTATGATTCAAATCATTCATTTTCTTAAGTCAGATACGGGGAAATTTGTTTTTTTCACCTTTGCTTCCATAGAAACATTACATGTTGTTATGATGATGATTGACATTTTTACATCCTCAACCTAATTTTTGTTTTAGAAGTGTTTCAGGAGCCGTAGAGCCAGATCGTCATCATGTCTGTATTGTGGCTGCTGCTGGGCCTCCTTGCCCTGGTGGGTGAGTGTGACTGACTTTTCCAAATGACTTTGGAGATGGGAAGGATGAGCACAGGAACATAATGGCACTTCTGATACTTGAAAATGCAACAAAATCATTATTTTTTTCCTAAACCATCCAATAAATCCTGAAGTTAGGAATGGCCACCAACAAGCAGTCTCTCCCTAAATGACCCACAGAAAAGTGGGGTTCTCTGGAATGTAAGGTGGTCTTAAAACAGCATTGCTTGAAGCCAGACTTTAAATATACACCATTGGTAGCTGCTCATTGTCTACTGTAAAATATGCCAAATTGAATTTGTTTCTAGAGCATATATTTCTATAGAAGAATTGAGGCGGTTGCCATAATAAGACTAATGAATAAGACTAATTCAAATAGAAAACCAGAATCAAGGCAACCAAGTAGATGTGACTAAGCTGACCACTGAGGCTGACAGTTGCTGTGATTAAACGTCAGCTTTGCAGTTGGAGCAAAAATGGGAATTACTTTTTTTTTTTTTTTTTTTGAGATGGAGTTTTGCTCTTTTGCCCAGGCTGGAGTGCAGTAGCGATTTCAGTTCACTGCAACCTCCATCTTCCAGTTTCAAGCAATCTCCTGCCTCAGCCTCCTGAGTAGCTGGGATTATAGGCACCCGACACCACTCCTGGCTAATTTTTGTATTTTTAGTAGAGATGGGGTTTCACCATGTTGGCCAGGCTGGTCTCAAACTCCTGACCTCATGATCCACCCACCTCAGTCTCCCAAAGTGCCAGGATTGCAGGTGTGATCCACCACAACCGCCCTACTTGTTTTTTAATAAATAAAAGGAGGAAGCAAAGTTCCTCAGGAGAAGCTTAATTTTCCTGACTCTAAATTCAATAAATTTCTCAGATGAAGTCTTATAGTCATTCATTTAGTTATTGACCTATTTATTCAACAAATATTTAAAAATTTCTACAAGGTGCTAAGCATTGGGAATACAAGGAACTTTGAGGATCATAGAATATGGCTAAGGAGAGGTCCACAAGGCAGGAACCAAGGAGTGACACAATCAACTGCAACACTAAGGGTATTTGTTGCCAGTCATAAAGATAAAAGTGTACTGATTAAATAATAAAAAACATGTCAGCTGCTTTAATTTTTAGTATACTCATAAAAGACCTGGTCTTTTCATTTCCACTTTTCTCTTAGGTTACTTATCACAAGTTTGTGAAGTAGAAGTGTTTACTCCAAAAGACTAGTATTTATCAACCCCATAAAGCTTTTAGTAAGAAAATAGAATCTTAAAATGCATTTATATAAACATACAGGACACATATTATTATCTGCAATAGATATAGCTCCAAAGATCTGCAAATCATTAAGTTTTAATAATCTAATATACTTTAGTCAAAGGATCAAATCAATCAAAAAGAGTAATCTGGCTGGGTGTGGTGGCTCATGCCTGTAATCCCAGCACTTTGGGAGGTCCAGGCGGGTAAATCACTTGAGTTCAGGACTTTGAGACCAGCCTGGGCAACATGGCAAAACCCTGTCTCTTCAAAAAATTAGCCAGGCGTGGTGGCTTGTGCCTGTGGTCCCAGCTACTCGAGAGGCTGAGGTGGGAGGATAGATTGAGCCTGGGAGGTTGAGGCTGTGGTAAGTCATGATCATGCCACTACACTCCAGCCTAGGTGACAGTGAGACCGTGTCTAAAAATAAATAAATACATACATAAATAAATATAAGGGTAATCTAATGAGACATTCGTACAGCCTTATAATGGTGAGATAATTCTCAAAAGGAGCAATACCTGCCTACTGTAGGTATCTTAGTACTGGCTCATGTGCCCCAATTCTGGTGTAAATTGTAGATATGTTATAAATACTTGTGCACCCTCCTCCTGGTGTGAAGAGAAGAAACATCCTCTTCTTCTGTGGCCTTTGTGAAATCCTGAGTGTCTGAAACGACTCCTCCTCTTCAGTGTCAACTGGAATGACAGAGGCAGAGAGAGATGGAAAGGAGAAAAGGAAAAAGTGAAGAAGTGGAAAGTGGGAGAGCCCATGTGGAGACTGGTCCCATGCCTCTCTCCTTGCACTGTCTTCTGCAGCCTTAGGCTCTTATCTAGAAGTGTACCTGAGAGAAATTGCAGCCAGCCTCAAATCCCCATTTATGAGCAGTGCCTTACTTTGGATCTTGGGTTGATACCACAGAGAGATTCAGGTTTTATACTTGTTTCTTCAGAGCAAACATAAATATTTTATCAGAGCAACAAGTTAGGAGTATTTGACGAAGTGCTTGAAGTTCTTATAAGATGTAAGATGAGGCCTTGCATGGTGGCTCACGCCTGTAATCCCAGCACTTTTGGGAGGCCAAGGTGTGTGGATCACCTGAGGTCAGGAGTTCGAGACCAACCTGGCCAACTTGGTGAAACCTTGTCTTTACTAAAAATACAAAAATTAGCTGGGCATGGTTGAAGGTGCCTATAATCCCAGCTATTCCAGAGGCTGAGACAGGAGAATCACTTGAACCCAGGAGGCAGAGGTTGCAGTGAGTTGAGATCATGCCACTGCACTCCAGCCTGGGTGACAGAGCCAGACACCGTCTAAAAAAAAAAAAAAAAAAGATGTCAGATGAGGACCACTTTACAGGGAACAGATCCTCCCTGATGTGTTCCAAGACACCACCTAAGAACATCTAAGGGCACCACAGCTTTACAGAGTGTAACTGCTTCAGTAGCTCCAATAGTTACTGATGTCCACAGGATAGCAGGTGAGAATTTAGTATGGAGGCAGGTTTTGTGACAATTTATTGGCATCTTGCTCATTTAAATTTCAAGAGTTTCAATTGCAGAGTGAAGTCGATGTAATTGACTTTATTATGATTACTTTTATTAATGTCATTTTATTCATGGATGATTCATGATTCATTATTCATGAATGATGAGAACTATTCTAGTTCCATGCCTTAGGTTGAACTTTTCTCAAATTGTAGATTTGTCTGAAAGCAGCAACTGGGGATGCTATGGAAACATTCAAACCCTGGACACCCCCGGAGCATCTTGTGGGACTGGAAGACGTCATGGCCTGAACTACTGTGGTAGTTATGAGCTCCTTGTCCACTCTTGCCCTCTCAACCTATCCCCTTGGCTCTCACTGTTTACCATGCTGGAAAGAGATCCAGGTTTCGGGTTCCAAAGCCTTGTCAGAGTCCTGGCTCTGCTTCTTGAACAAGTCACTTAGCTGTCCCCTGCATCTGTAGAAAGGGGGCTAGCAATATAATATTTACAGTGTTGTTGTGAGCTCTGATTGACACAATGTGGACAAGTGTGCTTTTCAGTTTGTATTTTTTTTTTCTTGAGACCAAGTTTCTCTCTTGTTGCCCAGGCTGGAGTGCAGTGGTGCAATCTCAGGTCACTGCAACCTCTTCCTCCTGGGTTCAAGTGATTCTTCTGCCTCAGCATCCCAAGTAGCTGGGATTACAGGCATGTGCCACCACACCTGGCTGATTTTGTATTTTTAGTAGAGATGGGATTTCACCATGGTGGTCAGGCTGATCTCAAACTCCTGACCTCAGATGATCCTCCCTCTTTGGCCTCCCAAAGTGCTGAGATTACAGGCATGAGCCATTGTGCCTGGCTGAGAGTGCTTTTTAAACCATAAAAGCACCTAGAAGGAAAGGCTAGCCAGGTAGATTAATATTGGCTTTCCTTTTGCCCAGCATTCTTATTATTTCAGAAAGGTTTAAACTTGCATGATTTCTTGGTGGTGTTTAGGAGTGCAAAACTGGGCAATTGTGAACAAACTTGCTGAGGAACACTATCTAAAGACTTATCGAAGGGTTTGGCAGAATTTCTCCTTCATGTCATGTTGCAGCTGATGGGCAGGCACATTTTAGCTCATTGGGGTGCTTAGAATGGGACCAATGGTTCCTATGCCCATGGAATTCTCCTGGTGGGCCAGAGCAGCCCCTGAGAGCCCAGCGAGGGGCACTGACAGCCACAGGGGACCCTAGCTCAAGGGATGCTGACTCAAGCTCACAGGAGAGTCCTAACCTCAGGTCAGGGAGTGGCCACTACTAAATATTTAAGACCAAAATCTGGGATTCTCAGTCCTTGACCACTACCCAGATCCTTGGAGAGTTCTTTCTTTCCCCTTTGAGCTCCCATTGCAGCATAAGTTACACCAAGCTGCAGCCTTCCTTTCGTGTTTGCTTTAGGAGTTCGTGCTTCTGAAAGGCTGGCTGAAATAGACATGCCATACCTCCTGAAATATCAGCCCATGATGCAAACCATTAGCCAAAAGTACTGCATGGATCCTGCTGTGATTGCCGGTGTCTTGTCCAGGAAGTCTCCCGGTGACAACATTCTGGTCAACGTGGATGATAGGACTAGTGTGGTGCAGGTAACTCTCCATCTGTTGACACATGTGGCCATTCTGCTATGTGGCACAACTGCTTCATTTTTCGGTTGATGGCAAAGCTTCATAGATCGTAGAGTGAATGAAGCTCTCTAGAGCTGTGACAGTCACAGTTCTTCCTGAGAGATATGAGCAGCAACATTTCTGTTTCATGTTGAGCCACAGTTTCTTTTCACATAAATAATGCTGTGTTTACAGAATATTATCTGGGCTACCCTATTTTGGATTTTCAGTAAATGGTCCAAGAGAAAGACCACAAATTAAATCTTTCCTCAGTTATTTTGTAGCCATGTGACCTTGAATAAGTTGCTTAATCTCACTGGGTCTTAGTTTCCCCACCTATAAAATATCATTCTTACAGCGTAATGATGATGATTCCATGAAATAATGCAAAAAAGTACCTGTTATCTGTTGGATTCTCAAAAAATATTAAATTTCTTTTCCTTTATCTTTTTTTCTGTACAATTCTTAGTTCTGAAGATCGAGTTTTATTTTTGCATGAATTCTCCCTGGTATCATTTGTCAGAGAGTTCTGGGGAACTGGTCACTAATCCACTGTTGAATTAACTCTGCACCAGGGAATCAGTGATGGCAAGGGTGAGAATGAGGCTCAATTTTTTCCGTTGATCTCACACTGCTTTTGTGGTGGTTGTTGAGAAACCTGTGATTATTGCAGTCATTTTTTAAGATTTTAGAAAAATTTATTGCTCAATGATCTCTTTAAATTTGCTTACTTTTAAAGTACTTTCAAATACTTAATACTTTATTTTACTTGGATTTGGAAACCCATCCAATAATCTGATTAGATGGGATGAGAGACATGTAATCCATCCTTGACAAGTGAGGAAACAGAATCACAAGGAAGGAGTTGTTGCGACAAAGTCACATAACAGCTGCAAGATGCAGAACTGGGACTGAGAACAGTATCTTGTGATGTTAGGGCTGGCATCATTTCTGCTGCGCTGTTCTGTCTCCTTTGTAAAATCTGATTTTTGAGGAAAGAATGAGTCTATCTCCTTTGAAGATGAAATAAGAAATTTCCTAGATTTGGGCCAGGTGCAGTGGCTCATGCCTGTAATCCCAGCACTTTAGGAGGTTAAGGAGGGCAGATTACTTGAGGTCAGGAGTTCAAGACCAGCCTGGCCAACATAGTGAAACCCGATCTCTACTAAAATTCAAAAATTAGCTGGATGTGGTGGTGCATCCCTGTAATCCCAGCTACTCAGGAGGCTGAGGTGGGAGGATCACTTGAACCTTCAAGGTGGAGGTTGCAGTGAGCTGAGATCATGCCACTGCACTCCAGCCTGGGCAACAGAGAGAGACTCCATCTCACACACACACAAAAAAGAGAATTCTCTAGATTTGGACATTTCAAATATGATGAAACCTACATGGAAGTGGTAATCAAAGGTATATAAGAAGGGTTAGAAGTCCCTTTGGACATTCAGACCATCTGGAAAAAAAATTACAAGTTCGGACAGAAAAACCTTTCTGGCCTATTTGGAGGGTTTGCATTGGCAGCATTGAAGGAGGGCATCACTGCTACCTACACTAACTCAGTCATTACCTGGTGAATGAATTAATATCTGCTCATCCCTTTCTTAGCCCAAACCTTGTAAGTTTACTGCCTTTTTTCTTTGGTAAGAACACTTAGCATGATATCGATCAACTTAACAGTTGTTTTTTTTTTTTTTTTTTTTTAGACAGGATCTGGCTTCATCATCCAGGCTGGAAGGCAGTGGCACCATCTCAGCTCACTGCAACCTCTACCTCCTGGGCTTATGTGATCCTCCTGCCTCAGCCTCCTGAATTGCTAGGACTGCAGGCATGTGCCATCATGCCTGGCTAATTTTTGTATTTTTTATAGAGATGAGGTTTCTTGTGCAAGCTGGTCTTGAACTCCTGGACTCAAGTGGTCTGCCTGCCTCAGCCTCCCAAAGTACTGGGATTATAGGAGTGAGCCACTTTACCCAGCCACAGATCTTTTTTTTTAAGTGTAATTAATGACTCTCGAAGCTTATTGTGCATATGAACACTGGGGCTCTTGTTTACATGAGAATTCTGACTTGGTAAGGTCTGAAATGGGGCCCAAAGTTCTGCAAGCCTAATAAATATGTTCCCAGTTGTTGCTGATGTTGCTCGTCCCTGGACCACATTTTAAGTAAAACCCAGAGTTTAGGTTTGGTCAACATGATGGGGAGACAAGGAATCAGAGAGTCCTTGCCTTATTTAGGGTGAGACATAGTTTCAATTACAAAATAGCCTGGACAGGGTGGCTCATCTCTTTAATCCCAGCATTTTGGGAGGCTGAGGAAGGTGGATCATTTGAGGTCAGGAGTTCGGGACCAGCCTGGCCAACAAGGTGAAATCCTGTCTTCATTAAAAATACAAAAATTAGCAAGGTGGTAGTGGTGGGCACATGTAATCCGAGCTACTCAGGAGGCTGAGGCAGGAGAATCACCTGAGCCTGGAAGGTGGAGGTTTCAGTGAGCTGAAATCATGCTACTGTCCTCCAATCTGAGTGAGAGAGTGAGACTCTGTCTAATAATAATAATAACAATAAAGACAGGAGCAAAAAGGAAGGTAGAAAAAGAGGGACACATTGAAATAAGAAATTAAGATGATAGTAGCAATTACAAGACATTAATAATTACAATTAATATAAATAGAAGAAACTTTCTGGTTTAAAGACACAGATGTATGAATTAGATTAAAAGCCTAGATTTAAATGGTTTATGTGAGAAACAGCGCATTTGAATACACAAAAGTTTGAGATAAAACTATGGTAAAAAGAAGACCTATCAGGAATACAATAATCAAAATAATGTTGCTAACTATGATATATTAAATAAAATACACTTTAGAACAATAATATTTGGGATAGAGAGAATCATGACATAATAAAAAGACTGAATTTATCAAGGAAGTACAGCAATTTAAAACAAATAGACACCAGTAAAATAGCCTCAAAATACATGCAGCAAAAATTATTATAATAATAAACGTGCTATCACAGTGGAAAATAGCAACACATCCCTCTTGATTATTTACCGGTTATACAATAAACAAACCAGCAAAGATATAGATCAAAAATCAGTAAAACAATTGACACATGTAGCTGTTATACGCGAGTGAGTTTGAAGGGAAGTGCCACACTCTGAGTTCCAATTGAGAGTCCTTTATTGCCGGTGACGGAGAGTCAGCTCATGCTCAAACTCTCTTGGCGGAAGGGGCTTGATTCCTTTTTATACCTTGCTTAGAGAAGGGCGGTGGCAAAGCAGAATTACAGAAGCAGAACAAGCAGGCTAGTTAAGGAAGCTGGTAACTAGGAGGCAGGAGGTTCCCAGGATTGTTGGTTACAAAGTGGGGTAGCAGGGGGGATTTTCCATACAATCAGTCACCAAGTGGGGTAGGTTACTCACAATAGCAGGTAGACTTGCTAAGCAGGATGTAGTTACAATGGTTACAAGTTACTGGGTACGGTGTGACCCAGCTGTGCACATGGAGAAATGGTGGGGAGGGAGAGGCTAAGATGGAGTTTGTCAGGCTTACACCTAAGATGGAGTCTGTTAGGCTATCACATAACAAGAACAGAATTAACAAGCTTGATTGTTAATTGGGGGTGGGAGGGAGAGAGAGAGGGAAAAAGAGAGAGAGAAGGTGGGGGATATAATTATTTATGTATCCATTAGGATATATGCAATTGTCTCATGCACATGAGGAACATTTTACAAAAGTTGATCATATATCATCTATTAAAGAAATCCTCAAAAATTTCAGATTCCACAATAATACAATTATGCTAGGAGATAATTTTAAAAATATCTCTGATCATATGGAAATTTAAAATACATACACACACACACACACACACACACACACACACACACACCACTAAGTAACTCTTAGGTTAAAGAAACAAATCATAGTGAAATTTAAAAATAACTAAAATAGGGGGGGAGGGGAACAGGGGCTCATGCCTGTAATCCCAGCACTTTGGAAGGCCGAGGCAGACAGATCACCCACGATCGGGGGTTGGAGATCAGCCTGATGAACATGAAGAAACCCTGTCTCTACCAAAAATACAAAATTATCTGTGTATGGTGGCGCACACCTGTAATTCCAGCTACTCAGGAGGCTGAAGCAGGAGAATTGCTTGAACCTGGGAGTCAGAGGTTGCAGTGAGCTGAGATCGCACCACTGCACTCCAGCCTGGGCCACAGAGTGAGACTCTGTCTCAACACACACACACACACACACACACAACTACCATATGATTTAGAAATCCTCTTTCTGGGTATTCATCCAAAAGATTTGGAATCAAGATCTCTAAGAGATATCTACACTCCCACATTCATTGCAAAGCTATTCCCAATAGCCAAGAGGTAGAAACAACCTAAATATACCTGACAGATGAAATCCTCTTACTGGGTATTCATCCAAAAGAATTGGAATCAGGAAATCTAAGAGATACTGAGCTCCCACATTCATTGCAAAGCTATTCCCAATAGCCAAGAGGCCAGGCAGGTCTCGAACTCCTGACCTCAGGTAATCTACCCACCTTGGTCTCCCAAAGTGCTGGGATTACAGGTGGGAGCCACTGCACTTGGCCCATATAGTAGTCCTAATTTTATTTTTTGAGAAACCACAATGCTGTTTTCCATGGTAGCTGCACCATTTCGCATTGCCATCAACAATGTACAATGATTCCAGTTTCTCTGCATCCTCACCAACCCCCATTGTCTTAGTCTGTTTTCTGTTGCTTATTCAGAATACCTAAATCTGGGTAATTTATGAAAAATAAAATTTATTTCTTACAGTTTTGGAGGCTGTGGACCCCAAGGTCAAGGGGACACATCAGGTAGAGCCTTCTGGCTGGTGGGGACTCTCTGCAGAGTCCCAAGGTGGCTCAGGGCATCACATGGTGAGAGGCTGAATGTGCTGGCTGTCTCTCTTCCTCTTCTTATAAAGCCACCAGCCCCACTCCTGTGATAACCATTAACCCACTAATCCATCAGTCTATGAATGGATTCATCTAATCATCTCTTAAAGGCCCCACCTCTCAGTACTGCCATATGGGGGATTAAATTTCAACATGAATTTCACAGGGGACAAACATTCAAATTATAGCACCAGTCTTTTGCATTTTTGACAATAGCTATCCTAACAGGCACAAATAGCTTTACTATTTAATCTCCAGGTGTTGTTGGAGGGCCACTTCAAATTCTTGACTTTGCCGCACAAAATAATTTGAGAGCAAGTCCAAAGTAAATATAGGTGAAGAAGTTTATTGCAAAGCAAAAGTACGCTTTGGTAGCTGGGTGGAGGATGAGGTAACTTCAGGTGACTTTGGGAAAATCCCTTCATGGAAAGCTTTTATGATTAATCATAAGAAAGAGGGAACGGATGTTGCTGTTAAGCATGTTTTGGGGTCTCCTGGATGCACATGTGCTATTGCTATGCATGCTAGCACATACATCACGTGTCTCAGCATTTTAATTCTCCACCCAGGTGTGTACTTTTCTTTTGTTCACTCTTATAATGAGCATAGGTCAGCCCAAGGACATTAATCGTGGGTTTCTGTTCTTGCACCGATTTGGGGATTTTCCCTTCTGCTCTTTGTCCTCCTTGCTGCAGAATTTTCTTTTTCTTGAGACAGGGTCTCACTCTGTCACCCAGGCTGGAATGCAGTGGTGCAATCATGGCTTACTGCAACCTCTGCCTCCCAGGCTCAGTCAATCCTCTTAGGCCCAGGTGATCCTTCCACCTCAGCCTCCCCAGTAGCTGGGACTACAGGCACACACCACTAATTTTTGTATTTTTTGTAGAGATGAAGTTTCCCTGTGTTGCTGATGCTGGTCTCGAACTCCTGAGCTCAAGTGATACACCTGCCTCAGCCTCCCAAAGTGCTAGGAGTATAGGCATGAGCAACCTTTCCTGGCACTCTAGGATATTCTAACCATGAGTCCTGAATGTCGTTTGTGCACGGTCAGAGATTTGTTCTCTCCATCTATCTGGCAAGTTTATTCCCCATAGGGAGGCTATGACCACCCTATCTAACCTACCTCACAGGGAGATTGAAGGTGGCATTGGTTCCATCAAAGGTGAAAGAACAAGAGGACGGAAAGTTCTGAACAAGGGCCACTGAGCCCAAGAAGCTGGATCATCCTCCCACTCGGCTTACCTGGCTTCTTCTCTGCCTCCCTCCCTCTAGGACCCTGGCTCTCATGCTCCCACATCCTGGATTAGTGAGTCTCAGGTTTCTCGGATGACTGAGGTTCTGACTACTAGAATCAAAGAAATCCAGAGGAGGTTTCCAACCTGGACCCCTGACCAGTACCTGAGAGGTATGTGTAACACTGTCAGTCAGTTGTCTCAAGCACAGAATTAATAGGGACAAACGTAATACATTGCACCAGGTTCCCCCAAACCCCAGTTGCCTCCCTATAGACAAACCCCAGTTGCCTCCTGATAGAGAATCAGAGTTAACTGCCGAGTACCCTAGGTCAGCATTAACCTATCTCATGCATTTCAGGTGGACTCTGTGCCTACAGTGGGGGTGCTGGCTATGTCCGAAGCAGCCAAGACCTGAGCTGTGACTTCTGCAATGATGTCCTTGCACGAGCCAAGTACCTCAAGAGACATGGCTTCTAACACCTCAGATGAAACCCAAGATCATGATCACATATGCAGCCTTGAATATTACACAGATAAAACTAGCCAAGGGTGCCTGTAACTGGGAATCTGAGTTTGACCTAAAAGGCATTAAAATAACATCAATCACATTAAAAGAGAATTGTGACCTGCATTCATGATATGTAGTGTGTGTCTGTGTGGATCAAGGACCGTGTTTCTTTAAACGTATTCTCATGGACGTTAGCTGTACTGTGGGTTTCTGTGAAGTGAATTTTATTTTTCGCTGACTAGTGTGGCCAGATTTAGCAAATAAAAGTGCAGGAAGCCCAGTTTAAATTTGAATTCCAGGTAAATGACAAATAATTTTTTAGCATAAGCCCCACGCAATATTTGGAACACATTTATACTAACAAATTATTCACTGTTTATTTGAAATTCAAAATTATCTGGGCTTTGTGTATTTTATCTGGCAACCCTATCATTGACTTCTTTGATAAAAATTAGTGTTTCAAATTTTAATTGAAAAATTTTGATGAGAAAAAGGGTAAAATGGCAGCCAGCCCCATCTACATGAAATGGCTCAGGAAAGTCACTTGCTAACTTTCCAGCATCGTCTTAACTCCAGAATTGTCTCCCTGTCATGAGTTATTGTCTCCTCTCCTTTCCTGGACCACTGAACCTTCTCCTACACCCAAGCTCCCTAATTTTTCCACCCAAACTATCTCTAACTCAGCTAAATGATTCCCTTGTTTGGGAGCACTTAAGTCACCAAGAGAGCCAGGCCACGGGAGGTAATTCATCAGCTGGAGCTGCCCTCAAGCACACTGGCTGTGCACTGTACTAATAAATTATTGAATTTGAAGATTTGTATTCTATAAAAGTTATTCATGTCCCATCCTATCAACTGTGCAATATCAGCACTTACAGAAGAATAAAGATGATATAGCAACTAACAAATCCTACTGAACCCTCTATCTGCAGCCACTGCATTAAGAACTATAAAACCAGGATGCAAAGATATTTTGCCTGTTCACAAAGGCTTCTGTATTAGTCCATTCTCACACTGCTATAAAGAACTGCCTGAGACTTGGTAATTTATAAAGGAAGAGGTTTAGTTGACTCAGTTCCGCATGGCTGGAGAGGCCTCAGGAGACTTACAATCATGGCAGAAGGGGAAGTAAACACATCCTCTTCACATGATAGCAGGAAGGAGAAGTGCCACACAAAGAGGGAAAAGCCATCAGATTTTGTGAGAACTCACTCACTATCATAAGAATAGCAGCATGGAGGTAATGGGAACGTGGGGATTATGAGAACTACAATTCAAGGTGAGATTTAGGTGGTGACACAGCCAAACCATACCAGCTCCTTTTCTAATTCAGATACAGATAGTTAGTTTAGAACACAATAAGCTAATTTCACTAAAGAAGAAATTTAAAAAATTGAGGGCATGTCAGGAGGTGAGTTTTGGAAAACTGAAGCCCAAATTCACATAAGAAAGAGGGAAGGCAATTTATTAGGTGTTGCTCTCACACCAGCCCTGAGAGGTTGCATCATTTTTATTCCCTTAAACAGACAAGAAAAGTGCCAACCAGAGTTGTTGATAGTATAGTTGGCCCTCCAGAGCCATGGTTTCTGCATCTGTGGGTTCAATGTGAATGGAAAATACTTTTTAAAACATTGCATCTTGGCAAGCTGAGGCAGGAGGACAGCTTGAGCCCAGGAGTTTGAAGTTGCAGTGAGCTATGCACCACAGCACTCTATCCTAGGCAACACAGCGAAACCTTGCCTTAAAAAGAAAAAAAATTGTGGGTGCTATGGGTTGGCGGGCTAGTGGGATGGCAGAATGAGGAAGAGGACCCCACTTTGAGGAAGAAAATGAAGAAATTGGAGGAGGGGCAAAACGTGGACAGGGTAAAAGAAAGATACTTTTTTCTAAAGAATTGCGATGTATGATGTATGGCTTTGGGGATGACCAGAATCCTGATACTGAGTCAGTGGATATTCTTGAAGATCTTGTCATAGAGTTTATCACTGAAATGACTCACAAGGCAATGTCCTTTGGAAGACAAGGTCGATAGAAGTTGAAGATACTGTCTTTTTGATTCAAAGGGACCTAAGGAAGTTTGCCAGGATTAAAGACTTGCTTACTATGAATGAGGAATTGAAACAAGCTAGAAAAGCGTTTGATGAAGCAAACTATGGATCTTGATACTTTTTGTAGTTTCTGAAAATTACCAACTGGGGAAATCATATATAATAATTGTATATTTTCTTTTTTAAAAAAATAATTGTATATTTTCTAAAGTAAGGTTCTGATATATAGCCATGTAAATGAAAGATGGAGAAACACAGTTTTCACCCTTTATTTTTATGCCTTTGATTTTAGAGTGATATTGGTGCATTTAATTGCCTGCCTTTGTATTACCATACTTGAATTACTTACTGGGTTTTAATAACCATGCATAAGTCAAAGTACCTTGCAAACCATGCAATTTCTTCTGACTTTTGTCTGTCTAAAGAATAAAGTATTATTTATGTGTTAGGTATGTTTATGCTTTTGTAAGCCAGACTGTAGCTATTTAATATGTGAAATCTAAATGGCATTTTTGACTCGACACCTCAGCCATGTTCTTCATGTATTTGGAAGTTTTTAGACAACTAGTTGTCTGGTTTATTATGAAAGATTATTAAGATAATAATTATTAAAGATAATGAACTGGATTGGGTGTGATGGCCCACGCCTGTAATCCCAGCACTTTGGGAGGCTGAGGCAGGCAGATCACCTGAGGTCAGGAGTTTGAGATCAGCCTGGCCAGCAAAGTGAAACCCCATCTCTACTAAAATTAAAAAATTAGCTGGTTGTAGAGGCATGCACTTGTAGTCCCAGCTACTCAGGAGGCTGAGGCAGGAGAATCGCTTTAACCCGGGAGGCGGAGGTTGCAGTGAGCCGAGATCAAGCCACTGCACTCCAGCCTGGTGACAGAGTGAAACTTCATCCAAAAAAAAAAAAAAAAAAAAGCCAGCCATGGTGGCAAGTGCTTGTAATCCCGGCTATTTGGGAGGCTGAGGCAGAAGAATTGCTTGAACTAGGGAGGTGGAGATTGCAGTGAGCCGAGAGGACGCCACTGTACTCCAATCTGGGCAATAGAGCGTGACTCTGTCTCAGAAAAATAAATACGGACAATGAACTGGTTTGTGTTTCTTTTAGAGAGATGATAGAGGAAAATACAGTTTTTTATAAGAATATTTATCTCTCTTAAAAGATAATTTGTTTTGATTTTCTTTGGGCAACAAGTTTTTTTTTTTAAAGAAACTAAGTTTCACATGAATAATGCTGTGTTGGAAGACTTTTTGATTTAAAATCTTTTCAGACTTATCTTACTAACTTTTAGGAGAATTTGTTTTCCCAGATTTAAGCTTCTAAAAATAAATGCTTTCAGTAGCAGGAATGGCATTGCTTAAAAAGCTAATGACAGGATAAGCATTTGCATTAGTGTTTTATTAACATATGTATAAGTACTTGTTCATTGTGGAAATGTGTCCTTGACTAAAACCATGTGTGGCCATGGAAACCATGTTTATAGTTCTGGATATATAGGTTTTGTGTGTATTTAGTCTATTGTATTAAATCATTGCCCTTAGTTTTCAGTAAGGATTACAATTGCATTTAAGTAAATCATTGAATGTTATTGTTTCTGAAGCTTAACTTTTTGTGCTCCACTTATAAACATGATCTATAAATAAGGGCTTGGGAAAATTTTACTTTCTTAACCTACTGATACAGGAATAAAGTATGAACAGTTAAACAGGAAAAACAAATTGTACCTGTACTGAAAATGTAGACTTTTTTTTTGTCATTATTCCCTAAACAGTACAACTATCAACATATCATTTACATTGTAAATTAGGTATTATAAGTCATCCAGAGATGATTTAAAGTATACATGAAATTGTGCATAGGTTATATGCAAACCCTACATCATCTTGTATCAGGGACTTGAGCATCCCTGGATTTGGGTATGAGGGGTGGTTCCTGAACCCAGTCCCCCATTATTGTAATTCATCAACAGAAACTTGCCCTAGGTCAGAACACTGGTAAGGGACAGGGCCATAACCCAAACCCAGATTTCTTTAATGTTAAAGCCTATCTTTTTATTATAAGTTTTTTTTCCTAAGCGGCGCACATACATAATTAGATGGTTGGCACATGCATGCACATGTGTGCATATGTCAGGGGGTGTTCAGTTGACCAGCTGTCCCAGTTTGCCAACTGGGAACTAGTGGATTTTCTGGGACATGAGGCTTTTAGTGCTAAAACTGGCAAAATTAAACTGGAAAAGTCCCAGGCAAATTGTGATGAGTTAGTCACTCTAGTTTGGCCTTCCTTTTCCAGGAGGTATTTGAGGGTAGTTTTCTTTCCTCCCTCCCTTCTCCTTATTCTGTCTTTTGTTATTGCTACAATGCCTGGGGTAGGGGGTTGGAGCTTGACATTACTGGTATTTTGGGAAGGGGGTGGACAAAGACTGCTAAATATTTCGCAGTTTGCACTGGGGGCGACGGTCCCACCCAGTGAAAAGTATATACAAAATAATTTTTTTTTCACATCTTCCTGAGTTAGCCTTTTGTCAGCTTTACAACCAAGATTGTTTTTTCTTTTTTTTTTTTCCGGAAATCTGAGAGCCTTCTCTTTGAAACGTAAACACCTAGGAAGATAGTGTCTCTATGTCCCTTTCACTGTGGAAGCTTAACCTCTGAGCACCTTTCTGTCTCCATCTTCATCTGCTTGTCACAGAGATAATAAAATTTTATGACTCCTTTCTTTTTTTTGAGACAGGTTCTTGCTCTGTCACCCAGGTTGTAGTGCAGTGGCACAATCACAGCTCACTGCAGCCTCCACCTCCTGGGCTCAAGTGATCCTCTCACCTCAGCCTCTTGAGCAGCTGGGACCACAAATATGTGCCACAATGGCTTGGTAACTTTTAAATTTCTTGTAGAGATGAGGTCTCATCATGTTGCCCATACCATTATTATTCCTTTTGATAAAGATGAATTTAGGCTAAACTATGAAAGAATGTACAGCAAATGGCTCTGTTAAGTCTTCTCATAGGAAGACAGGCTCCTGTTAATAGAGAGCATATGTATATAATGGCTAAAAATAGAGCAGTAGAA